CTGGAGAAAAACACACAGGGACCGGGCTGGTCTCCTTAAATTAAAGACCGCTAACCGAAAGTGGATCTTGAAAGCTGTCCAGCAATCCTTCCATTTTCCCCTTGTCCATTTGCTATCCTTATCTCCTGGAGAAATAACTTTCTCTATCCTCCCTCTCAGACCATGACCTTGCTTCCTATTTGATCAAATAGAAGAAATTAGTAAAGACCTTCCATAAGCTCTCTCCACCGCGTCTACCCACCTTCCTGTATATGAGTCCATGCATATGTCTGCCTTCCCCCATTAGTATTGCTCAGGCTGTCGTATAAGACTTTCTGTGATGATCAAAATGTCACATACTACAGTCATACGTGACTGTTAAGCACTTGAAATAAGGCTAGCACAACTAAGGAAAAAAAATTAAATTTCATTTAATTTTGAATTAATTTAAATGTAAAAAGCTGCATGGGGCTCATGGCTACTATATAGGGCAATAGAGCTACAGATGCTGATCCCATCTAAGGCCAGCTGCTCCACTTGTATTCTGTATGCCATTCCCTCTTATCTACTCTAGGACATTGTTTTAGCAATTATCCTCTCTCTGCAACTTCATCAGTTTTCTTTTGTTACTGGCTCATTACCCTCAGCATAATAATATATTATAATATTTTCCATTAAAAAAAACACCTCTCACGTATTCCCCGTCAGCTACCACACAATTTTGTTGCCCATTTTACAGCGAGTCCACAAAAGAATATTTTTATAATTGCTGACTTAAATTCCTCACCCCAACTCTTTCTTGAACCCATGCTAATCATACTTCCGTCTTTACCACTCCTTGAACCAGCTTTGCCAATGTCACAGTGACCTCTCCATCACTGTTGGTTCCTAAACTCAGGAGCTTCTTGGGCAAAATCTGAAACTGGCCCCCATACACCACACAATAACCCTTCTCTCTCATCTCCTTCACACCAGCCACGAAGGTTTTCAAAGGTACGTGCAGGTTAATTTGTTTATTTTTCTTTATATTTTGTATTTTCTTTATTATTTTGTATTACATTACAGTATTGCAATCATATTTATATGAATATTTTTGGGTTGTGGAACAAATCATCTGAGTTTCCATTATTTCTTATGGGGAAATTCGTTTTGATATGCAAGTGCTTTGGATTACAAGCATGTTTCCGGAATGAATTATGCTCGACAACCAAGGTTTTACTGTACCCTCAGGCTCAGTCCTGAGTCCTCTGTTTTTTTGTTCATTACACCCTAAAGGATCATATCAGTACCATCGATATCTTTACCCTGATCATTCTTCTGAATTCTAAATTCATGCATCCAACAGCCTACTCAGTATTTCAAACTCAAAGATGAGTAGGCATCTTAAACTTAATGTGTCCAAAATTGAACTCCTGATCCACCCCCATTAAAACCTGTCCCCCACCTCTTCCTCTAAAATGCTCCTCCTATAGTCTTTCCCACCTCAGTGCATGTTGACTCCATTCTTCCAGTTGCTATGGCCAAAACGACTGGGTCACCCTCAGCTCCTTTGTTTCTCTAAAAATCCTTTTGGCTTGAACTTCAAAATTAATTCCAAGACTTCTCTCTTCTCACCACTGCCCACCCTCATATAAATTTCTGCAATAGTCTCCTAACTGGCTTTCCTTCTGCCCTTGCCTCGCGATGGCCTACTTTCAATATGGAAGCTACAGTGGTCTTTTTAAAACATAAGCTCAGTCATGCTCTTACTCTTCCTAAACCCGTACAATGGGCTCCTGATGTACTGATGGTACTTAAAATGGCTTTCAAGGTCCTACATTATTTCATCCTTTTCACCTCTGTATTATTTTGCTAGGGTTGCCACAACAGATTACCACAGGCTGGGTGGCTTTAAACAACAGAAATGTATTTTCTCACAATTCTGGAGGCAAGAAATCCAAGATCAAAGTGTTGGTAGGGTTGATTTCTTCTGAGACCTCTCTCCTTGGCTTACAGATGCCCGCTTTCTCCTTGTGCCCTCACATGGTCATCCCTCTGTGTATGTTGTGTCCTAATCTCCTCTTCTTATAAGGACACCAGTCATATTGGATTAGGGCCCACCCTAATGACCTCATCTTAACTTAATTCAAAGGCTCTGTCTCCAAACACATTCACTTTCTGAGGTTATGAGGATGAGGACTTCAATATATGAATCTTTTTGGGGGACTCGGGGACACAATTCAGACCATAACAACCTCCCTGACCTTACCTAGTACCATTATCCCCCTCATTCCCTCCATTGAAGTCTCAAAGGCCATCTTGCTGTTCATCAAACACCCGGGCTTATTCATGCCTCTACATCTGCAACCTCTTGCCCCAAGCATTTTGTTAAGTCCTCTTCTCTCATTTCCTTTGCATGTTTGCATGAATGTCACCTTATCAGTGAGTTTATTCCAGATCACTCTGAAGAGTATAATTAATAGCAAGCCTCTGACCTCATGACCATACACATATTCTCCATCTGCCCATATTCTGCTTAATGTTTCTCCATAGCCTGTAGCATTATGTGCCACACTATGTATTTTCTTATTTACGTGTTTGTCTTTTTAAATCTCCCTCCACTTGGTTGTTGATCATTAAATATCTGTTAAATGAGTGGATAAAGAGAATATATTCATTTGCAGAAAGGAATACATGCAAAGTTCACCATCCTGAGGGATCTGGCAACGATATCCTATAATCCACAGTTTAGAAAGTCAGATGTTTAGGTTTGAGAAGAAAAAAAAAGAGAGAAGCCTGAGGGAACATGGAATAAATATTTTAAAACTTCTGACAGAGTAGCCTGTGGATGAATGGGAAGTCACTCTTTGCATTTAGCCTTCCTCCACATGACAGAATTGGGGTAAAGGACAGAAGTGAAGAGAAGGTAAAATTTAGCTCAAGATAACAGCAGAAAAATTCTAGTGAAATAACTTTTCCCCCTGAGGATGGCTCCCAATAATAGATAATAGGAAGCCAAAGCCAAATAATTGTTTCAAGAATATTGCGGGCAAGACACCTGTGTTCGTGGGAGGATCAAACAGGTGATTTCTGAGTTCATTCCAACTCTACATTTCTAGAAATATAAACCAACTTTAGACGAGGAAAAATATCACCACTTCCTAAAGTATGGCTGGTCTCCGTATCCCACTTGTTTTCATGACTCAGATTTGGTGAGATCGCCAGATCTGGAAAGCTTCACAAGATATTGGGTCGTCGGAAAAGTCATGATGTATTTTTCTGTTTTTCAATGCAAAAATGAGTCATGACTTTCCCGACGACCCAATAAAATGAGAACGGAAAGTCAGGGGAATAAGGGCCAAGCTTTGCCAATAAGTAGTCACATGACTGAGTGCAAATCACTCTATGTCTCCGGTTGGCCAATCAATGAGTCTTCCTCCAATAAAAGGCTTGGCCTAGACAAACACTACATTTGCTTCAGTTCTAAACGTTGTAATTCTAGGTTCTTTTTCAACTCATAGGGACGTGGAAGAGAGTTAGAAATGAAAGGGTCAGTCACAGGGGATTATGGGATGGTGGTGGTAGCACCCTGGCAGGTTCAGACTAAAGGAAAATTGTGTGAAATAAAATCCTTCCTTACCAGGAGTTCAGAAATGAGAGAACAAGTCCTTTGGGCCAACCAGCCAACATCTTTTCTTCAAGTGTGTGAAAGATGAGAGAGCTCCGAAACTGAAAAACCAGGATGAAACTAGAACTTCTACAGAGAATTGCTGCTTACTCCCAAGGGACCAGTCAAGCTGTAGGCTGTGCTGTGCTTTGGTTCATGGCGACTAAATCTTTCATTGAAGATTGATTCCAAAAAGAAGTAAGCTTATGAATTAATGCACATCCTTGTACTTGTCTGAGCTCCTTCATCTTGATTGAAAAATATCTTTCAGGGATGTTTTGTAGGTGTTGAATTATTGAGACTCAAAACACAGAATTATGGACTTGGGTTATTCCAGCTCAGTTTCTAGTTTTTTTGGCCTACCGTCTTCTAGACATAGCCTGCATGTGGCTTTTGGAGTTGTTTTAGAGATTTGGGGTGGAAAAGCACTAAGCAATGTTGGTACAATCTGATTTTTAAAAAATAAAGTTTCCCAGCAGCTCCCAAGCAGTTGAGGCCAAAATGGCATAACTGAGTTTAAGCAAATCTATGACCTATTTTCTAATGTAGGCCAAAACTAGAACTGAATTTGATATATTTTCCAAGATTTAAGCCAAGGTTGATGCCACGGCTCTAGAATTATCTGAAAACCAGACTTTTCTTTTCGCCATTTTCCTAGTTTATTTCCATCTCATTTTCCCTTCCTTTGCAAAAGAAAATGGGCCTGCCTGGCCCCCTTTATACTTAGTCAGTATCTCTTTCCAGACTTCACAAACTCATCAGAACAGGGAGGTCATTTCGACCCTTGGCCCTGCCACGTTTAGATAACAGGATTTGTTTTCACTGATAGTTGGAAAACAGGAATAACAGCATTTTTTGTTCAGACCAGGCTCCCTAAACCTTTTCCTTCTTTTTCTTTTTGGTACATTAATGAGGGCTGACAGGGCCGCTTGACACCATTAGCAGTAAATGAATTTTTCAATAAGGACTAACCAAGGAAAACTATGGAAATTCAGATTTCTTTTTTGTTTTTCTTAAGATTTTTATTGGGGAATTGGGGGAAGGGGAACAGACAAGCTGCGGTCGTTTTGCTCTTCAGTCTAGTTGTGGAGGACGTTGCTTCACTGGCCCAAGTTGGCACCATCATTGCACTCTTCCTGGGCCAGGCAGATCAGTCGCCGGCTTCTGGATGGCCGCTCACTGCAGCTGCTGGCTGCTCACACTGGCTGCTGGCTACACACGGTAGCCCATGGCAACCCACTGCAGCAGGGTCTGCAGCCTAGCCATTGCCAGCGACTCCCGGCAGCCCAGCTCCAGATTGAGCTGTTGTTCAGCATCTTAGCTGTAGAGGGCAGTGTCACTGGCCCTCATATGTGGGATCCGAACCGGGGCCCTCTGGCATCCCAAGCCAGCTCTTAACCAATGCGCCACTCGGCTGGCCCCAGATTTCTTTTTTTGACCCAGAGAATTCTGTATAGCCTATGCCTTTGCTCTCTCTATATACTTTATGAGACATGTCAGCAGAGGCTTCTTAAAATTAATCCAACAGCTATCTCCTTCAATCCTCCTTGCTGGAACTCCTCACTCATGCTCGTGGAGGTCTGGAGTATTTCTTGAGGGTCCCTGTCCCAGAAGATTAAAGGGAAGGCTGTGAGCTCAAGTCTTATCCTGAAGCTTACCTTTGTAAACTTAGCCATACTTCCTCCTTTTTACATAGGAAAACTGAAAGAGAAGCAATCTCATATGTGAGGTGGATTCTGTCCCATTTCTCCCTGGAACTGGGGAGAAGCTGGTCAGATACTGGCACGATTGTGCTATAAATATTCAAAGACTCTACTCCAGTATCTTCCATCTAACACACATTTTAACTCCTACTTTCAACTTGCAGAATGCTTTTTATGGCATCTGTTATGCCCTACTTTAAAGTATCTGTCAGCCTAATATTCCGACTTTCTTCCTCTATTATCTTCAAGGTCATGCTTGGAAACACCTTTCAGTGGAAAGCACCCATCTGCTTTGACAAAAATGTACACTGTAAACCTTCATTTCTGCAAGGGTCTTAACAAAGAAATCCAAGAGTCCACAGAATGCTTCCAACACAGAGTTCCCTAAAGCTTGCTTTATGCAACTCTAGTCCCGGATTTGATACAAAAAACACAAAACGAAACCAAAACAGGGGGACAGAAAGCAATGCTGCATAAAGAGCTACTGTCTTTAAAATTCAAAACGCACGATAGCATTTTAAAGGATTGTAGGCATTCTAAGGTAAAGATATGTTTAACTGCTTATTTCTCAGACTTACTCGATTACAAACCCTTTTCACATATGCATGTAACACTTATACATAGAGCCCTGCTGAACTAGGGTTCCACGGTGCACAATTCAAAAATTGTGCTAGAGGATGCTGTTCTTCATGTTTTAAAAATTATCGTTCTAATGCACTATGTATTGGAAAATAACCTTGAGTGATAACTACAAGTCACTTCTTTCTCACACTGTATTTAGAGGGCTACTCAGGGTTCATCTCACAAATACCAAACCTCCAAGTGATTATTTGGTTCTTACAAGTAACCACAAAACATATCTCCTTTTTTGTAACATCACGTTAACATCCTCTGAACAGGTTTCAACTCATCTGGTGGAGATGAATCATCAATTATCACAGAAAACGACCACAGCCACACCTCCAACATGCATCTCATTCACCTTCGCTTCAGCCTCCATTCACCATGTTGCAGTCACTTCCTGTTGCATGTACTTCCGATCCCTAAATACAAACAAACTAGAAATAGAATTTATTATTTTCAATTAAAAAAAATCATAATTCATGTTGTCTGGTGAGACAGAACCCGGTACAAATCCCCCCTCCTTTGGCCCTTTCTGGCTGAGTTAACCTCTCTCACCTCCTCATTGGTGTCATGGAAGGTTAACTCAACACGAGTCACAGGTAACCAGGATTTTTGCACAAACTTTTTACAGATCCCATCTATGGTCATACCTGGAACCCTGGCATGGCCTTCTCCCTATTCTTCCTGATGCCAGCCTTTTCATCCTCCCAATTTCCCTATACTTTCCCCACTGACAGGCCTTTCTCTAGAAATGTTAGAGTATGAGTCAGGCTGATGAGGAAACCTGGAGTGAGTAGCAGCCCACAGCTGCTCAATCCATCTGACCTAAATTCCTCAGCTTCTCTAACATGAACAGGTCCCCGCACTGTGCACTCCCACTTACCAACCCCCATCATGAACACTCTTAATGTATTTACGTGGTCCTTCCTTAGAACATCTTTCTTCTTGCTCCTTTTTCTTTTCTCTTTGAAGGTGCTAGCAAATCCTCTGCAAAAAACAAACAAACAAACAAACAAACCACACCTCTTCCTCACATCACTAATTTACCCATTGCAATCCTACAGGTTTTTAACTCTAATTTTCTTCTGATGAATTCACATACATACACACAAATACTTTATACCAAGTTGTACTTACTGATGTACTTTTTTTACTATGTCTTTTTTTCCCAGGTATTTTTCTCACATAAACATGAGCTCTTTAAGGGGGGGAAACATATCAGTTTTTTACCCTGCTCACAATGGAAGTGTAAAAAATTTGATTGATCCACCAATACTAAACACTTTCGTTCCTAAGGCTAATATTTACTTCAACTGAAATAAATTCACATGGACAGAACAATGTTAACCAAGGGATATGGCAAAGTTGGGTGTCTGCTTAGGGACACAAGTTATATACTGAACGACTATGAAGTTTTTATTTATTTTTTGGTTTGTGTGGGTTTTGTCATTCAGGATGCTGTTTATTGACAAAACGTGTTCATGAATACTCAAGGCTTACCTGCTGGAATCTTCTCACTTATTTTAGGTTTAGGTAACACTTCTCTGCCTACACAGCCCTCACTTGGATTTTGAAAGTTGAGTCACTCATCCAAGTCTCTAGAACTTTTCTCTCCTTAAAGAGGAGGACATGGAGGGCAATCCCTAGGTATGGTTTGTGTAGAGATAACGAGGTCTAGTTACTTTGGAGTGTAACATCCCTCAGCCAGGATGTTCGTCATCGGTGAGTGTTGGCAATGGCCCCAGGGCATGGCAACTCCTGGTGTGAGCTGTGGCTTCCTGCAGCTGTAATGGGGAGTGACACTCCGTGACCAGGTGACGTGGTCCTCCCTTCTGCAGGAAGTGGTCAGCCCGATCTAATCCTCTCAGCGCCTCTGGCAAGCAGCCTTTCCAAACACTGTGCCATCTGCAAACAGGATACATATCTTTCACATATCTGGCACATGCCCTTGGGATTGTCAGATTTCCACCTAATTCTTAGCATACTGCCCAATTGTACAGCTCCAGCCCTTTCTCTCCCACTCTAGGCAGCATATTGGAATAGAAATGGATAGCCTGGTGTAAGGGTCACCATGAGTCTGCTTTCATTTAGGTTCTTAAAAAAAGTAAATCACTCACAAATTTGGAACTTTTATTGGCAATACATTACTTAGGGACCCACCTAAGTAACACTGGGTTGAGAGTCACTATGCCAACTGATAGGCCCTAGCAAGGTCAATGCAATGTCAAAGTCAGGACTATCCCAGTCACTTCAGCTACAGCTACTGTGAATTTCTGTTCTCTCAATAAAGGAGAAGAAATTTCTGTTGTAAACCAGGCACACCAGGTGTCACCACACCACCTCATGAGGGGTTATTTTGGCAATGGAGGCTGTGGTAGTTTCAATAACTAGTACTTCCCAAACTGATGTGTAGTAGTCAAGTTTCTCAAAGCCTGAGAAATATTGCATATTTCTGCCCCATTACCAAAGCTGTCTGAAGAAGCAAATCCTGCAAATGGATTGATTTTCACACTTCCTACCTCTGAGGTAGGCATGTATGGCCGATTTCTGTCTCCTCTCTTCTTCCATAAAATATAGAAATATTCTTTTAGATTACTCTTTGTGGCCACCTCGGAATTACTAGCATTCTTCAAACAAGTTATATAAACCAGCTGCCAATAGTGGTCCCTGGTTAAACATTTAATTTTGTTGACCCGTAGAGTCACGACTGAAATACACTAAACCCATTTGTAAACTATCACTTATGTGAATCTGAAGGCTGCCTCTGAAGCAGTTTTGTGTAGTGACTGCAGCGAAGGACTAGTTTTCAAAGGATGGGTGCACTACTGAAGAAAATGGATAAAGTAGTAACTCAAGAAAACGGGCAAGTAAAATGTCACATCCTCTGTTTATATGCATGTCTGTTAGATGTGTGTAGTTAAATGTAGATATGCTAAGTGTTAACTATTCATTTAAAATTTTCTTTTTCTATTCATTAAAAAAAAAATCTTATAATATGAAAAAAATGCCCCCATCACTGGGAGAACAAATTTTATGAAAAGCTTGATTGTTATTTACAGTTTAGACTTCTGCAGATATTGAAGGCTGCAGTCAAGATAAAGAAATTAATAACACCCTGTGTCTTACAAAAGGTAGGAAGAGATGAGAGAGAATCCAACGCAGGGTCTACTTCTGGCCTACAAAGGGGGCACCAGAATGAAGTTCTGGAAGGGAAGCCAGGTTAGGAAGCATGTGCAACTCTCAAATGTGTTACAGCGCCTGCCATCCCAGCTAATACCCAGGAAGAGAGCATCTGTATAGAAGGTTCCATAATTCTTAACACTATTGGAAGTCGGGAGTAGCCGTGGGATGCAAATACTCAACCAGGAGGCAGCTAAAGGAAGCACTCTGGTTACCTAAGAAGCATTCTGGTTTCAAAAAGATATGAATTAAAGGTAGGAAGAATCCACTCTCAACAATGAGAGTAACTTAAAACTTAAGAATAATTTTAAGAGTTCTATTAGGAACTGAATTGTGTTCCTCCAAAATCCGTATGTGGAAGTCTAACTTTCACTACCTCAGAATGTGACTGTATTTGGGGGCAGGGCTTTTAAAGAGGTCATTAAGTTAAAATAAGGTCATTATGGGGGATCCAACTGCAACCTGACCAGTGTCCTTATAGGAGGAGTTCAGGACATACAGAAAGAGAGGCCAAGGGTTCGCACTCACAGAGGAATGACCAACTGAGGACACAGCAAGAGCGTGGCCATCTGAAGCCAAGGAGAGAGGGCTTAGAGGACTCCAACCCTTGTAGCACCTTGATCTTGGACTTCTACCTTCTAGTGCCATGAAAAAATAAATTTAGGTTTCTTAAGCTGCCCAGTCTCTGGTATTTTGTTACAGCAGCTCTAGCACACTAATACAGACTTTAAATGTCAATGCACTTTTAAGCTTTGATAAAATTTTCAAAAGAAAAATGTTAACAGGTTTTTTTATTTATTTTCAAAGCTGGGCGATCTTGGGAGAAATGCCAGCTGCCGGGGATCACGATACGATGTTGACGCAAGACGGGGAAAGTAGAACTCTTCAATTTTTAATTTTTTTCTGTTGAACTTAGTGATCTTCCAACTGAAAAAGGCAGAACCATTGGTCACTGGTAAGAAAGGTCAAAGATTAGTGACAGGATTACAGAACAAGTTCTAGTTGCTCGCAAGGAGGACCTGTTATGGGCTGAACTATGTCCCTCTGTAGATTCATATGTTGAAATCCTAAACCCTAATATCTCACAATATGACTATATTTGGAGATAGGGTCTTTAAAGAGAATGAAAATGAGGTCATTAGGGTGGACCCTAATTCAATATGACTGGTGTCTTTATAAGAAGATGAGATTAGGACATAGAGACACACAGAGGGAAGACCATGTGAAGACACAGGGAGAAGACAGCCATGTGCAAACCAAGGAGAGAGGCTGCAGAAGAAACCAGCCCTGCTGACACCTTGATCTTGGACTTCCAGTTTCCTGAATTGTGAGAAAATAAATGTCTGTTGTTTAAGCCACCCAGACTGTGGTACTTTGTTATGGTGGTCCTAGTAAACTAATACAGGGCCCATTGTCTGGCTTCGATTACGATTGTTTGGGGTGATATTTGCAAGGCACAGATAACATCCTAAACGTAGAATAACAGAGATGTGGCTCACAGCCCCTACACATAAAAAAGATCTGGGAGAACCAATGGAGAGTGCAATCAATCTGAGATGACGAAGTCAAGTGCATGTTAGGCTGCACACTAAGATGGGGAAATAGCCTACCCCACACAGCAGTGGTCAGAGCACTCATGGAGTATGAGAAACAGACCAGAACACATTTAGTGGAGAATGGCCAGGGTATCGAAGGAACCAGAAACCATGCCATTTGCACAACTGTTGAAGGAAGCGCCCGTGTTTATTCGCGAATAGAGGACTCAGGAGGCGGAAGCAGCATGAACACAGCTGGCAAATATATGAACATCAGTGGTGTGGAAAATACTTATTCTGCTTGGTCACAGGGGTACAAGAAGGACATCTAAGTGGGAGGGTAAAGGAAAGGGAATGGGGTTAAGAACTTTATAGAAACCAGAACCACCCAAAGACGGAATGCGCTATCTAAAGGGGGAGTGAACATTTCACAAATTGATGCATTTAAGTCTAGGCTGTGCATGTTGCGGAGATTCCAATGGTGGTTGGTCCTTTCCCCAGCCTTGTAGGGTTCTAACTAGGGATGTTCTTTTATTTCCGGATCAGGGGATCTGGAAGATTCCTTAGGCAGGAAATGGCATTAAATGGCAGAACAGAGATAGTGGCTGAGAAGTAAAAGCCTTCAGGATCTCTGAGTGGTAATGGAACTGGAGAAAATGTCAGGACTGTCCATCATCTGACACTGTCAGCTGCTAATCATCTTCCCGGGGAGAACATCTTGTGCAGGGAATGCGTGAGTGTGGTGAATTGCAACAGTGGCAAGGGAAACTGCTAAATCTCAGTACTTTCATTTTTATAGATTATAACCTCACTTCTGTATGTTTGAATTATGTGCTCGATAAAAGTCTCTTGCTCTTAAAAATTGCTTCTTGCCTCCTAGGACTGGCTTCATGGGCAGGCAACCTGTGCAGTCACACAGGGCTGTGTGCTCAGAAGAGCCCCACGGTTGGTTGAACATCCTGCATCACCAACTTAAAATTCTTAATTTTGGAAAAATGGGTCTGGCCTTTTCATTTCATAGTGGACCCTGCAAAATTTATAGCTGGTCCTGCTCCCTCCCCTTCTTCTAGTCATAACCCTCTTTGCATTCAGACGTCTTCAACTGCTCATACACACCTGGGACAGACAGGAAAATATGGTGGTGGGGAAGCACCACCATATATAGGTGCTTATATATATAGGAAGCAGCTGGGTCTCGCTGTCACTTAGGCTCTCCCCTGCAGTCCCAACTTCACGTCACTTAACTTGCTGTCAGATTTGGGAGAAGTTCCCTAGCTTTAGCTTCTTGACTTAGAAATGGGAATCCTAATAGCAAGGGCCTCACTGGCTGACATAAAGCATGTAAAGAAATACTGCATGATGACAAATATTTGTTATTATTTGTTGAGGACTTCCAAAGGACACTCAGGGGAAAATGTAATCTAGGGAGAGGACTGGATGCCTGGGGAGAGACAGAGGGGTGATGAGAGCATTTAGGGAAAGTGGCAGATAAACGCTGGCTTGTCAGGAAGGAAGTCGCCATGCCCCTGGCTGAGCCATGACCCCACGACTGGAGTCCCTGGCTTCATTCCCTCCTACAAGCCCCACTGTGGGCTGAGGCTTGGGACCTATGCTCCTTAAGATCCAGAGGAGGGGATATCCTGCACAGTTCTAGACCGTTCTAGACACAATGAAGAACAGCACGGAGTTTGAGGTCAGAAGTTCTTAGTTATGGGGGTCGAATAAGAGTCATCTCTCCAGACCCTTTCTCTCTTAACTTTCCCTTCACTCCCATCTCAAATGGAGGCTACATCCTTACCTGATTAAAAAAGAAAAAAAAAAATCCCTGTTGACAAGTCCCTTTTCTTCAAAAAACAAACAAAACACCCAAACACACACACAAAAACAATAAAATTTCTAACAAAAAACCCCACCTTTCTTTCAAGAAGTAAATGGGTCGCCAGCTCCTTCGCTAGGTCCGGCTCCTACCTCCTTTGGTTCATTCTAAAGATAGAAATTCCAAGTTGCTCATGGCTGCTTTTGACGGGAAAAAATGAGGCTTTTGCTCTCTCAACAGGCAAAGAAAT